TAAATACTTATCTTCTACACCACACAAGTAATATATTAAAGAATTATTACAAAGTGTTAACATTCATACACCACACCCACAATGTTCCATATAATTAATCATTGAGCCTGTTCTTGCATATATCTTGACTGACACATACCTTTATATTTATGTTTAAACTCGTCAATTCTATTACTATTTTTTATGTCAGCACTTAAATTATTCCATAGTTTTACCCCACTTATGGAAATACAAAATCTCTTTTTGGTTGTACGGATAACTTTCACAACGTCTGGGACCATCCCAGTTGAATGTTTATCACATCTCAGCCCACTCTGCAGCCAGCTCTATTTTAAAAATAGTGCAATGTTTAACTAGATTTCAAGAAAGTCTGCAAAGAATTGATACGTTTCCATCCACTACTGTTATGGTTGGTTCACTGAGATAAACAGCTGGTGGCACCAACTCTCCAGGCGGTGCTAATAAAACTGCACAAGGATGATGAAACCAATTACTTGTTTTATTTTAAATTTTCTGCTTTTATCAATTGACCAACTTTCCCACCTCAGCCAAGTGTAAAAAAATCTTTGCAACATTGAGCTTTTTTTCCTAATTTGTCTGCACCAGCTGGAAATAAAACCAGATGGATGGAAATCCACCCAATAATGGCACATACTCCGCCTGCTAGCGTGTGGCCATTCAGAACAGCTGTAAATGCTTCCCTGGAAAATTAAAGGTCTGAACAACTGGATGTGATGCTGACCCAAACAGTTTCAGTGTAGTTTAGCCACATTTACCTTGGTAATAGTTTTTTTTTTTTTAATTTCTGGCTTTGATAAACAGACAGCCCACAAATTCTGGAGTCATTATAGAAATACAAAGAGGTGGCATTTTTCTCCACCCATGCTTCTTCATATTAAACATTATTAAATGCAGATGCACATCTGATCACAGCAAACCAAATGCAAACACCGATGAAGATAAGCCTGCATCCATCAAGGCCAAAACATTGAGCACCTCTCTGGAATTATGTTCTTAAACCTACTTACATGTTGATGTGCGAGTCGGGCAGTGAAGAGTCAGACAAGAGTGACGAGCTCCGATGAGGCCAGAGGAGAAACAGAGAAGTGAAGCTCTGACTTACTATGAAACTATTTCAAATAAAGGTTGAGTAATGAAGAATGTGGCCAGATATGAAAAAGAGAAGTGTAGATGTTGAAAGTTTTTTTATTAGGTCTCACACTGTTACTTTCCTGCCTTGTCTGTGTAGTCAACACCTTGAATTGTTTTAAAATCAGTACGATACTCAAAGCATTAAACTGCACAGTTGAATGAAGTCTGAATCATTTAGATAGTCCAATATCATAAATTTGTCTCATACAATACCCACTTATCCTTATTAAAAATAAATAAACCCTACCTAATGGGTAAAAATCAACTGAGAAAGCCTGAGGCAGAACAACAGAGGACAGACAAACCTCACTCTGGGGCTTTTGGACCAACAGAGAACTAGCTTACTTCTCATTTGCAAACTACTGTTAAGTCACGAGCATTTCGACCAAAAATAGGTTGATTCAGAACCCAAAATTCAGGCTCCCAGCAAGAACCAGGAGCCTGATGGATCTAAACTGGTACTGTGACAATATCGGTGTCATTACATTTTAGGCGGAGCCCTATTACGTCAACACCCCGTGAACTCCAAAGTGGTCTCATTCATTCATTTATTCAAACCTAACAAATCTCTGTGCTTCAGAACTTCTTAAATTATCAGTACTGATTTATGCGATATTTAATACTCAGAACTTGCACAAACAAAGGAGTCACCACTTCGGAGGAATGTGGACATTAACAGGGTGCTGAGGCCTGTTCTTAGAACACAATGCTTCATTTCTCAAACACAGAGAGGCACGGTTTTTTACTTTTCCTCCACCAACATGCACAACTGAATCAAAATGGTTTTATTAATACCCTGATCATATGGGGCGCCAACTTAGACATGACAAGGCGAACATCTATAATGATGTTAAGACTTTAAGGGGTAATCTCTTTGTGTACCTGTGAACTGCTTGATGCATCCTTGACAAAGTAACCTGCTCTTCTTATGCATGTAATCTGCATCCATTTATAAACGGAGACATACCGGATTATGTGCCGGGTATTTGTATCCTGAGTTTACAGAGTGACGAGAGCGGGAGGTGTGGATAACCTGGCTGCTAATTTCCCTCAACCTCACCCTCGACAGCTCCAGCAGAACTTGTTTCACTACACTGAAACACAAACAGGATGCAGACAGACTACCTGGTTACCTACCCAGGTGTGTTGTAACCTACCAGGTGATCTGGAAATGAAAGTCGCCCTTTCTTTTACTGAGAGTCAGTAATTGGATGTTCCTGTTAGTTCTTAATGTATTTCTGACTTAATGTATCTCTTCAACTGTCACTTTTAGTTAGTCCTTTGATTGTTTGTTTGCTTTATTTTACATTAAGAGCAGAATTTGTCAAACTGAGCTCTGTATCATTTAGCAATTAGACCTAAAAATATGGAATATGGAACATACCTGGCAGGTAACTGGTCATGTTGGAGGTCACCACCTCATCAAACAGGGAAACACCAGAAGCATGAGCATGAAGCTTTTTTATTTAAAAAAGGTTAGCTGTTCATTTGGAAGCACCTTACAGTTTTCTGTCTGTAGGAGAATAATGTAATTTACTGAATGACTTCTTTGGCTAAATGTGTTTTGGTATGTTCTGTAAAAAGTTCAATGTGGGCAAGCTGAATGTTTGGGTGCAACACTGTTTCTTCCTGGTCGAGTGCATCTTGTTTTGTTCTGTCAGTGTCATGTTTTGCAATTTGTGAATCAATTCAAAATCATAAAAGGTAAGAATTGTGATTCTTATGTCACACCCTCCCAAATTCCTTCAGTCACTTCTCAGAAAATTAATCAACACTTCTGATAAACAATGAATCACTCAAAGTCATTTATCAAGCAAAAATCCCAAACATTTGCTAGTCCAACAACCTGTTATTTACACCACTGTAAAGTGAACATCTTCAGGTTTTAAACTGCTGAGACAAAAATAAGTCACTTTAAAACATCACCGTGAACTCTGAGAAAATTTCATGAGCATTTTTAATGCCTTCTAAAATTGTATACACTAAGCAATTTGAACATTTTACAAACTGTCTTCCCATCTACAGTGACAAGGACATCTTTACTTACAGCTTACTTTAAAAAAAAAGCATTAAGGTTTGAGACCCAGCAATATAAAAACAGAATGGACAGTCTCATAAACAAAAGTGTCACCGGTTTGATACCATATAAGAGCCTGAGAATCTCCTGGTTACCAGTTTCAGGTTGACAGGTGCAGTTTCACTACAAGAGCTGCTCATCACCACCAAAACACTGCTCTCAATACTTCTGGTATTTCATCATGTCTGAGGGAAAACACATTTAGTAACAAGCTCTTATCTCTTTCACCATTTCCTTTAAACCTTTCTTCCTGAAGAGGTGCTCTGTCGCCGCAGCCGCAATTTGCTGTCACTTAACAGACTTATTAAGCAATCTATTCAGTGATAAAACTGTCACACTATCCAACAGCAATGAAGGGCAGAGATGTGAAACTGGCTGCCTGCTGTGTTGAAATTCAGTACATCTGGCAAAGCAGGTCTACAAATAGTGCAAAGGGTTAAGAATTTATTTCTTAAATTAACCAGTATGTTACTGGAGGTAAAAAGGCAATAAGCTTGAATACATGTGAGCAACCGCTGGCCTCAACACACCGTCCTCTCACAGGAGGTGTCAAGTGAAAACAGAGGACCTGCGGCAAGGTGGGCCCACCACAAAACACACAACAGAGTCAGGACCTGTGACTGGTTATAGCTTACCTGTAAGGTGAGTTACAGGTGGGTAGAGTATTCCAGACATATTCTGAACTACTTGGAAAAACGCGTATTCATACCCATACCTCAGTCTAATGTCATATTAGCTGAGGAACACTTGTTAAATGGTGAGTGTCCAGTCCTGTCCACAAATAAACCAACCACACTGACTTTGTCCAACAGGCTTCAAAAGGTCAACACGAAAAGGACGTAAATTTGCCATGAATACATTTCCTTATATTCACAGGAGTTATCTACAAAAACACTTTAAGTTTACTCGGTTGTAGAGAGTTTTAAATTATCGCCCAAGTTTGGCAACCTAGTGTCGGTTGGCAGCATTAGCCTACTAGCTCAGAAGTTAGCCTCCTAACCACTGCTTATTTATTCCTACTTTTGCCGAAGTTGACTGTTTGTTTATTAATAACACTGCAAATAGCCATTATCTTATCTCAAAGTTTACAACTAGGAAAGTGAAATAAAAGCTTTTACTGCGCTAACGAGCTAGCATCTGTTAGCATGAATGGGAAAAAGTAGCACCAACACACGGAGCTAGTCTTAGCAAAGTGTGAGAGAACATCAACAGAAACAACTTTTAAATCAGAAAAACTACCTACCCTACGGCACCTTTCGTACTCCGCGAACTCTGACTGACTTTGAGTTCAGTTGTATTCCAGATAATATGAGTAAAGACGCGACTCCCTGTTAAAAACCAATCACTGTATGCGTAAGCAGCGACCACAGCTTGAAACTCCACCGCTACCCCGAAAAAAAAACCCCAATATGGCAGCGCCACTTCATGGCGCATTGGACAGTCGGTAAACACAGTACTAATTAGTAAAAGCAGAGGCTGTTCTGCAGCTCTACAGGTAGTGGTGGAAAAAGTACTCAGATCTTTACTTCCGTAAAAGGAGCAATATCGCCGTGTAAAAATACTCTGTTAGAAGTAAAAGTCTTGCATTCAAACTTTTACTCAGCCAAAGTAACAGTACAAAAGTAGCTATTAGCGTCAAAATATATTCGAAGTACCAAAAGCAACAGTAGTTTTTATGCAGAGTTGCAAATTTCACATCAGTGTATTAATCGATTTAACACTGCAGCCGATAAAGGTGGAGCTAATGCTAACCACTTTATATACTGTACTTTTAATGTGAAGTACTTTACATCCTGCTGGGTAGCTGGTGAATTCCCCACCAGGGATCAATAGAGTCTGATGATTCTACTGTTTGGTTTAATTCATCTGACTCAACTGAAAAGGAACTGAAGTTATCAGATACATGTAGTGCAGTAAAAAGTACAAGGATTGTCTCTGACATGGAATGAAGTCCAAGGATGAAGTGGCAGAACATGGAAGAACTCAAGTAAAGTATCCTACTTGAGTAAATATACTTAGTTACTTTCCACCACTGAGTGCATTTACTCTATACCTAAGTAGAATTTTGATGTACTTTACTCAGGTATTTCCACTGTACTGTAGGCTACTTAAAACTTTAAATCCACAATCAGAGGGAAATGTACTTTTGCTCTTCCAGATTTATTTGACATCTTTAGTTCCTTTTCAGATTAGGATTAAGATTTTACAGTTAAAAACATATGATCTGTTCATAAAATACAACACATGGTTAAATATTACACAAGCAGTTCCAAACCTTTTTTATCTTTATCCAGTAGAAAAAGAAAAGTTTGTGTTTGTGACTTAAAATCTTAAAACATTAACTTTTTTTAATGAATTATAATGATTGAATATCAAATGTAACTGTCTCTGCAAGGAAAAGGCAATATAATTTTATTTATATCGCACGTTTACATAGACAAAGGCAATTCAAAGTGCTTAACACAATGGACACAAATACATAAAATATTAAAATGCATACAAATAAAACATTCAAATGAAAATCAAATTAATACAAATGCAAATTAAAAGTAACAATTACATGACAGCACAAAGTAGAAACAAGTTTAAGTACCTGGTACTTTTAGGATAGCTGATTAATTTGCTTCAGGATTTCATTTTTAATCATTGATTTAATTCTCATTTTGGTTTTCAAAATTCTGTTTCCATTATCGAACTGAACTAAAACAACCTAATAGGTACCACTTACTTTAGATTAAAATGTTTCAGTAAGTAGTACCTAAACAAGAACTTTTATTCCACTGTAAATATGAAAAGTTTGATGATTGATTTTTCCATATTTATCAAACTGAAAAAGTCTGACATCTCTAGTAAAAATACTCAACTGTCAGTTGTTTGAAACAAACCTAGGTATAATGAGCAAAAATCTCAAATTTACTGCATGACTGTAACTTTTAAAAGGTGCCATAAAACAGATAATCTGACAATATTTCTCTTGTGTGTTTGCTGCTGTGGTGTTACAGTCAAACAGGCCATTGCATGACTTATACAAGCGCGTGTTTACAAAAAAGTCAACATGATTTTGGCACCTACAAACGTTTCAACAAGTGGTACTACTCCACCACAAGGCTGTTGTTTTGCACAGTGAAGCAGTTAACCAGAATATTCCCACGAGCAGTGAAGGCAACAGGAGCAGAGCCAGGAGCTGTTGCTGGGAGGAGACCTGCCTCTGCTTCAGAGCAGTAAACAGGACAGCACATGCTGAGGTTTACCTGGCAGACCTGCACAGACACCTACTATTTTAGAACATCAGTTTAGAACATTTGTTTATACTTCACTTAAATATTTTTTCTTTATGCCTCTGGCATCAAAAACTCTTCTAATCATCTCAGGATGCCAGGGATCAGAGAAGTGCTGGGACATTGGCCTTAACCAGTTGCTTCAGGTATCAGAACTGGTTTAAAACACAGCTTTGTGAACCCAAAGCCAATTTTAACTTTTGAGCCCATTCATTATACTGTGACACAAAACTCAAGATTTTGCTTTTTTTTTAATCTTTCAACCATATCACGCATGTTAACTTTGAAGCCAGGAAAGGTAAGAACTCCTTGTAACAGCTGCAGCATTTGCACATCAACAGATCCATGAGCAAAGTGTACCTGCTGAAGACAGGAGGACATTTACAGATCTGGGGCTCCTGAAGCAATATTTTCCCCTGTAAACAAATGTGAACAGAATGAGGAGGGTGTCTGGAGCAGCCAGCACAGACCTGATTTAGTATTCAGACTAAATAGGTGCACAGAAACTGAATGCTTCTTCTCCCTTGAGCCTGGAGACAGTGATAGTGCATGTTTAGCTAAAACAAAGCTGTCCCAGATCTGCCAAGAGGATCAGGAGACACTGATCTCACGTACTTCCTGGATCCATGTATAGATCTCGAACTGAAGAGATTACACTGTACCTGACACTGAATCTAATGCTGAGGCCACAACAATCACAACACCACTGATCACCTGTCTTAGAAAAACCCCATGCCAAGGCTGGTTTTCAGTTTTTAGCAATGGCTCATTTCACATTAACAGGTAGGAAAAAAACAACAGTTTCAGTGAAAAATCTGACAAACTCAGATGTGACAGTGGGTAAATAAATTTCACTTCAAAAAATGTAATCACTACTACTTCATAGCCTCCTACCTAGATATACTGTGTTCTTTGCATGAGAGCACTTGTAACATCAATACTGACACCAGCTCCCATCTCTTTTGGCATTTTGCCACTGGATTTGAAAGTGAAAATCAGTGTCAATCGAGACTGAATTAGTAGCATCTAAGCAGCCAACATAGGGCCATGACACTGGAGGTGCTGGAGAGGCGAAGTGGCATTGACTGCAATAACAGCCAAGAGCCTAAACAGGTAAGATGCTCACATATACAGACTCCAGTTAAAAGACCAGATAATAACAGAGCTGGAGCCAGTGAGAGATGAACAGATGATAATGAGAACTGCCTTCCTCACTGAAAGTGTTATAAAAGCTCTGTTAATAAACAGTGACCCAAATGAACCAGGAGGAGGCTCTGTGGCATTATTAACTCTTATCAGCCTCGCAGAGTGTGTAACAGGGTGCATATAGAACAGAACAAAGAAATAAAAAAGTGAAGAAAAATCTGACATTTTTACTGTTTGTCTCTGTAAATTTGGTTCGCTATCAGTTCTGTCTTTTCGATGGTTGACTACAAAGATGTACAAAGGAACAGTAGAAACTTAATGTGTTTTTATTGTCCTGTGCTTAAACCCACCTGGGGATGGATGTGCAGGCCTTTTTTTTAACCTTCCACCTTTTCAAACATCAGAGAGTTGACCTTTTGAAAAGGCCTGGATTGGGAAAGGGCAAAAGACAAGAAGGCCTGTTTGGGGATTTAACAATGTGCATCTCCTGATTCTCACAGCCTTTTGAACCCATCCTTTCTTTCACTTTCTATTCCTCCTCTTTTCATCCCCTCCACCTCTCCCTTTTTCAGCTCCCTTCTGGAGCTCCACATAGCAGCACATTAATGCCCATGGTGCCAGAATTTTTGTTCACAAACTTTTGGCTCTGGCAGCACGGTGGCACAGTGGTTAGCGCCGTTGCCTCACAGCGCGAAGGTTCCAGGTTCGGGCCCCACCTGGGACCTTTCTGTGTGGAGTTTGCATGTTCTCCCCGTGCTTGCGTGGGTTCTCTCCGGGTACTCCGGCTTCCTCCCACAGTCCAAAGACATGCAGCTTAGGTTGATTGGTGTCTCTAAATTGCCCATAGGAGTGCATGTGCGCGTGTGTGGTTGTAGGCTCCTCATGTCCATCCAAATACTTTGTCACAAAACACTGATTTAAATGTAAAGTGCAGCTGCTGAGGCCCGGCTGTGTCTCCTGTAATGATCATATAACAACAGCTGAGGCGACCTCTTCTTCTGTCTTACATCTGCTCAGACAAGCAAGTCCAAATAGAGATGTCAATGCCACACACTCAAATGTGACTCAGACTGGCTGGTGACTCCGAGCTGGGTGACCATGAAGCTCAGCTGCCTGCAAACTCGCACATCTGTCACCTGAAATCCATAGTATCTGCCCAGAGTTTCATCAGCCTCCAGAGACTGACCCAGCAGGGGTGGGGAGGAGAGGGTGAGGTTGGAGGAAGCTATGAGTGTGAGGGGAGGAGGTGGGTATAGTGGTTGTCTTTCCCCACAGACAGAAAAGCCTGCATGTCAAAGTCAAAGTGAATTAATCCAGCACTCGGTGATGGCGTGCCGGCTGCAGCCATGGGGCTGGACACCCATGACTTGCGAGCTGCTGTGTCATCCTCCCCCCCACTCTACAGTAATGATCTCCATCTCTCTAGTGTATATGTTCCCCTCTGGCTTCCTCGCCTCTGTTGTTGTTCTTCTGCTCTGCTCCTGTGTAGAAATGCAGCTCTTAAGTCTGTAGACTCATCTGCTGCAAAACGACTAAAAGGAGAAGCAAAATAGCTGAAAAGAAATTAAAAGCAAGTGCCCACAACTAAATATAGAGACAAAATAACCACAAATACACAAAATAATAAAATATAGCTACAAACTGACTAAAAGAAACATACAACTTTTTCAATCTGTGAATCTTGCTCGTAAGCAGAAGAGTGGGGGGTGCTTTTATATGTCAGTGCCCAGGTGCTCAGTGTCTCATAATCCACCTGTGTGGCTAACAAAACACTTTTATTGCTGATTGACTCTAAAAGACTGTAAACAGGCTGAAACTGCTTACCAGCCTAACAACATTAAGGCTACAAACAACCCATAATGCAACGCTCTCTGTATAAGTCTGTGTTATTCTGGTACTCTGTATGTTCAGAAATATTATCTGTTACTGTGAGCGCATAGTAGTCTGGTACAAGACTTTTTTATTATCTTATAATTTGGGCCATTTTGGTATGTTGCCTGTTTTAATGCACATTTTTAATTTGCACATAAAATACAGCT